GTTGGATCGAATATAAAATAATAAATAATATTTTAATTAATATTAATTAATCTATCGTTACTTATAAAACTTATTTGATTATAAATAAAATAAAAAATAATTATAATATAATTTTTGTGACAAAAAGAATAATACACGACGTCAAGAATCTAGCTATATTAGCTATAATAATTTTTTTTATTTTAATGTGAATAAAAAATCATTTTTTTAATAAAATGATTAAAGTGGTCATCGATAAATCATAAAATAGTTTCAACAATTTCAAAATTTTTCATTGTGATTGGTTAATCATTATACTTGAAACAAAATTCAATAAAAAATCTATTCAATTTTTAATTTGAGCATTTAAAAATTTCTAATTTATATTGAAAATTTAAAATTTTTTACTTTTTCTAATTTGATTATTACAAGGATGTAATTAAAATAGTGTGAAATAAGAAGGGTATAAATTCTAAACGCTACATCTTAAAACGCCACCGTCCTAAAACCCTAACACAAAAAACCAACGCCACCCCCTTCCATTCTCATCGAGAATCCAGACGCCTCATCCCAAATCTCGAACGACGCAGATCGAGAATAAGCATGGCGGCGGAGGTAATGCTAGTGAACGAGATAGAGTCGACGGCGGCTCGACTGGGTATCGACTTGGATAACTTCGATTACAGTTCCGTCAAACTTCCTCCCGGAGAATACTGTGGCATCGTCAGGTATTAAAACCTATTATCTTTCTAAATATTTTTTTAGACTTAATTTTTCTTTGTAATTATATAATTTTCGGTTTTGAACAGTGACGACGAGGATGTTTACCATGATGATCAACTGGAGTTTGATTCCGGGTTTGGAAACATTATAGTCGTCGATAATCTCCCGGTTGTTCCTCGTGAGAAGTTTGAGAAACTCGAGGGTGTGATTCGAAAAATTTATAGTCAGATTGGTGTGATTAAGGAGGATGGTCTTTGGATGCCCGTTGATCCTGAGACTAAGAAAACCCTGGGTTATTGTTTCATAGAGTATAATACTCCTCAGGTTCGATGTTTATTGCTTTTGAATTTTGAGAATTTTGGTCTTATGGCTTGGGTTTCTCAAAATCTGAATTGGTTTCTTTGATTGGTTGTGGATGCAGGAAGCTGAGCTTGCTAAGGAAAAGACAAATGGGTACAAGTTGGATAGAGCACATATTTTTGCTGTTAATATGTTTGATGATTTTGATAAGTACATGAGAGTTCCGGATGAATGGGCTCCTCCTGAGATTAAACCCTATACACCAGGGGTAATATTACTGTGTCGTTTTTCTCTACATTGTTTTGTTAGTGAATGCATTTGGTTTCTGTTGTAAAAATTGTTTGATTAGTATTGTTCTCATATATGCTTTGTGTTGATTCAATCTCTGATACTAAGCTGCTTATAATGCGTTTCCATGAACAGTTATGGGGTTTGTATAAATGGGTGTAAATAAGCATGTAGAATTATATAAGCATTTAGAATATGTAAAGGATGGCTATGATTTGACTGAAGTCAGGATTGGTGCTGAATATTTGTATGTTTCTGTAAAACAGTATACTGGCATTAAAATTTTAGATAAGTTAATTGTAGCTTCTTCTTTAAGAGGTATTGTGTAAAATTTATTCTATTAGAAGTGTGTTTCTTCTTGTTCTCCTTCTTTTCTCTGCTTGATATTTTGATTTCTAGATTCTAACAGTTTTCCATGTACTATAGAAGCATCCTATATAACAGATAATCTCAAGTATTGTTCTTTTTACTATACACAAACCTGAGTTCTCTCTTTCATTCCTAGTGTTGGATATTTATATGCATTTATTACTTTGATGTGCAGGAAAATCTTCAAAAGTGGCTTACCGATGAGAAGGCACGAGATCAATTTGTAATTCGTTCTGGCACTGATACTGAGGTTCTATGGAATGATGCAAGGCAGTCTAAAACTGAGCTTGTTTACAAGCGTACTGTAAGTAGCTTGTCCCTGTAGAACACGTTATGACTTATTGTGGCTTGCAGTTTGTGAACCTTCTCTCTCTCTCTCTCTCTTTTTGCGTGTGTTTTGCATGGTGCACAGAGATCCATGTCCAGGTGTTTTAAAAGAGAGTAATATTGGTTGATTTAGTTTAAGTCATTGCTGTGTTTTGTGAGTGATCCGGTTATCATTTTCATTATTGGATTGTTGATGCATTGTGATGGATTTTACGTGTTTTTGTTTACAGTACTGGACCGAAAGTTTTGTGCAGTGGTCTCCCCTTGGGACATACTTGGCAACAGTTCACAGGCAAGGAGCAGCTGTTTGGGGAGGTGCTAATACATTTAATCGCCTAATGCGTTATGCCCATCCTCAGGTTAGAATAGGCTTTAAATTAACACATTCTTTAACTTTGCATTTCATCATCTTTAACCTTCAATGATACCGATGCAGGTTAAGCTTATTGATTTCTCCCCTGGTGAGAAATATTTGGTGACGTACAGCAGCCATGAACCAAGCAATCCACGTGATGCAAATGTAAGGTTTTCAAACCAATCCTTGTTACTTGATTTTATTCTATTATCATCCAATGTCATTTCTGATATAAATTTAATTTATGTAGAGGGTTGTGATAAACATTTTTGATGTGAGAACGGGGAAAGTGATGAGAGATTTTAAGGGAAGTGCAGATGAATTTGCAATTGGAGGAACTGGTGGTGTTGCAGGAGTTTCTTGGCCTGTTTTCAGGTGATTCTTCTGATCAACCTTTGTGAATCATTTGGTTTATATTTTCCTTAATTCATCTCATTTTGGTCAGCATCCCTGTTATTCTGATGAACTAGAATTGTTATTTTTCAGATGGGGTGGTGGAAAAGAGGATAAGTACTTTGCCAAACTTGGGAAGAACATGATATCTGTTTATGAAACAGAGACATTTAGCCTTATTGACAAAAAATCTTTGAAGGTTGAAAATATTGTGGACTTCAGTTGGTCACCAACAGATCCAATTATTGCACTTTTTGTTCCTGAACTTGGAGGTGGGAACCAACCTGCTAGGGTGAGCATCTGTGTTCTTTTTGAGAGGCTCCATTATCTTATGAGATTAGATTTCAACTAATATGCCACATTTCTCAGGTGAGTCTAGTTCAAATCCCCAGTAAAGAGGAGTTGAGGCAAAAGAATCTTTTCAGCGTTAGTGATTGTAAGATGTACTGGCAAAGCAATGGCGATTATCTTGCTGTCAAGGCTGATCGCTATACGAAAACTAAGAAAAGCACATATACAGGCTTTGAGCTCTTCCGCATCAAAGAAAGGGACATACCAATTGAGGTTTTGGAGCTTGATAATAAAAATGACAAGATAATTGCCTTTGCTTGGGAGCCTAAGGGTCACAGGTTTGCTGTTATACATGGGGATAATCCAAGGCCTGATGTTAGCTTTTACTCAATGCGAACTGCTCACAACACAGGCCGAGTTTCAAAGCTAACCACTCTAAAGGGCAAGCAGGCAAATGCCTTATTCTGGTCACCTGGTGGTCGTTTCATTGTACTTGCTGGATTGAAGGGTTTCAATGGTCAGTTGGAATTCTTCAATGTTGATGAGCTTGAAACCATGGCGACTGCTGAACATTTTATGGCAACAGATATTGAATGGGATCCCACTGGAAGGTAAGCTAAAGATAATTTGATATCATCTATATTTGTGCTCGTTGGTTTTGTGTTTAATTGAACCTAGGTGCTCTACTATAAAAGAAATGAAAATTGCTTTCCTTTTAATAAAAGGGGTATTTTGGTTAAATTTATATTCTGATAAGTGCTCTCTCTGTATACATAAGGTATGTTGCAACTTCAGTGACTTCAGTTCATGAAATGGAGAATGGTTTCAACATATGGTCCTTTAATGGCAAGCTACTTTATCGGATACTGAAGGATCATTTCTTCCAGGTAAATAAACTATCCTTCCTAATATCAGCATAAATGATAGATAAATTTCATTGCTGATGACTTTTGTTTTTTGGGACTTGAGTGCTATGTATCATTTTCCTGGAGTTAGGTTTATTTATTTCAACTTCTTGGTGCCTTAGCCAGTTCATGATCTCATCGATTGCTGGATTTCTGTTTGTCTTTTTGTATTGCAGTTCTTATGGCGGCCAAGGCCACCATCCTTCCTGACTCCTGAGAAGGAGGAAGAGATTGCAAGGAACTTGAAAAAGTACAGTAAGAAGTACGAGGCGGAGGACCAGGACGTATCGATGTTATTGAGCGAGCAAGATCGTGAGAAGAGAAGGATGTTGAAGGAGGAATGGGACAAGTGGGTTAGCGAATGGAGGCAGGCACGTGAGGAGGAAAAATTGGAGAGACAGAAGTTGAGGGATGGAGAAGCTAGTGATGAGGAAGAGGAATACGAGGCCAAGGAAGTTGAAGTAGAGGAAGTGTTGGATGTGTCGGAAGAGGTCCTATCCTATGAAGATTGAAAGCTGAACCAGCACCAACAGGGCTCTCAGGATGTGTTGGAAGAGGTCCTATCCTATCATGAAGAGTTAATGCTGAAGCAGCAACAACGGGGCTAACGAACCAGAACTTGATTTTCCGCATCTTTGTTTTATGTTTGCCGGTAATCCTGTAGGAATGAAACAAATTTTTTTTTTCGTCCTTCTCTTTGGTCCCAAGCTATATGCTTTTGTTTAAATATTAATTTTTCTTTTAGAATTTTGATCATGACCTGCTTAATTTATAAATGATTTTTGAGGTGTCATGCGATGATTGAAAGCTGTTTCATCAATAGAAAAACTCTGTAAAATTCCACTCAATTAAGGGACAAACACAGAGGAAAAAACGAGAGTTTATTCATGGGCCAAGCCTTACCAAACTATTGTAATATCAATGTGTTTTATTTAGGATCGTGACAGAATCAGAATCGGTTGTGATAATTTATAAAGAATTTATCTGTTTTGATTCATTAAAGTGTAGTATTATTTGTTTTACCTTTTTATCCCACAAACGCGTCTTGAAGTTAAAATGTGTAAACGGCTAGATGGCCAGGCATGCACTGCTGAAAGGGGTTGAAAATTTTTGAAAGTCAACAGTTCCGCCGTTTGGCTTGCGCCCCGATTTAAAATTTTAAGTAAATTCCAACACTTCACTGGAAAATCTGCAAACAAGCCATGTCCACCGTTACTGAATCCCAGTCACTCGAAGCAGAAACCAAAATTGAAACGGAATGGGAATCGGAAAGCGAACCCGAGCCCCCGAAAGAGCCATGTGTCCGAAACTGGCTAGACCTCCCGCGGGATGTGACGGCGTCGATCCTGTTGAGACTGGGAGCTATAGAGATCATCGAGAGCGCTCAAAAAGTATGCACTCAGTGGCGCAACATCTGCAGAGATCCCTCCCTTTGGCGGTCCATCGACATGAGGAATGCTGGTGACTTACATGACATGCCCTATAATCTCGAGAGAATGTGCAGGCATGCTATAGATCGCAGCTGTGGTGGTTTGGTCGATATCAATGTTGAGTATTTTGGTACGGATGACCTTCTGGCTTACATCACCCAGAGGTAATGTACTAATATTACCCTCAAATCGTTGGTCAATGGTCAATTTTGAATGTTTTAGTGTGTTTAATTAGCTGGGTTTGGTTAATAAGTCATGGGTTTAGGTTTTTTTCTCTCTTTTTTTACGTTTCTTAAATGAAAATTCATGCTTACTGTTCTTAAACTAATGGTATTTTTAAACTGCATGAACTTTTGGTAAACAAAGTGCAATGTGCAATTGACTAAACCAGTGAGCCATTCGTGGCTGTTCATTAGGTTTATAACATGTACTTTGAGGGTCTGGTCATTTCACAACTCAATGTGGATATATTCTCCTCTTTGCCATCCCTACCGCCAATCTGAAAGATCCGCAGATGACCTAATCATGAATTTTGGATCTCACTGAAAAGAATGCCATTCAGAAATGCTCATGAGCTCATTTCTTAGCTTGTCATCTATCTCCGATTCCATGGCACTTTGACATAAAAGCCTGATGTTGTCACAAAAGCTATGAACATCCAAATATACTCGTCTGTAGTTGGATGTTCATAGCCTTTGTGACAACATCTGGCTTTTATTTATGTCCGAATGCGATGGAATTGGAGATAGATAACAAGTCAGTAATGAGTTCATGAGGAATGGCATTCTTTTTCTGTAGTGACATGCAGAAACCATGATTGGGCCATCTCCGAATCCTTCAGATTGCCGGTAGGGATGGCAAAGACAATGTTAGGTCAGACTATCAAAAGGACATGGTGGCTCATTAGTTATTGGAGGAGAGCGGCCTTTATTTGTCATTGCTTTCTGTATGAGATTTCTGTGCTGGTTTTGTCAAGGCTCCGGCCATTTGCTCCGTAATATGCCAGAAAGTGTCTACATTCTTTTTTTTTTGTTCCTTTTTCATATGTTTCGTTGCAGAGTAACAAGAAAAAATTTTTACCCTTTGGTTCCTTCAATTGACACGACGCCATTTATATTAGAAATGTTTGTAATACACTATCACTTACTTTATTGTACTAGCGGAAAGGCTATTTGCTAATTTGACTGCTGATATGGCAACCGAGTTTTGTGTTGATGGTTTTCACAGAACAACTCATCTCAGACGCCTCCGACTGGTGCAATGCTGGGGTATTTCGGATGAGGGATTGAGTAAAGCAGCTTCAAAATTTCCATTGATGGAAGAGCTTGAAATTTATTCTGGTAATACTGGTAAAGATGCTATTGAAGCTATTGGGCGTTGTAGCCCTCTTCTGAAAACATTCAAATACAATCAAGTGGCTATCAGAGACTCATATTTTAAGGATGACGAGGAGGCACTAGCTATTGCGCAAAACATGCCTGGACTACGCCACCTCCAGATCCTTGGAAACAAGTTGACTAATCATGGTTTGCAGGCCATTCTTGATGGGTGCCCTTACCTTGAATCCCTTGACCTGCGCAGATGTTACTTTGTTAATCTGGAAAGGGATTTGGGGAAGAGATGTGCTGAACAGATTAAAAATTTCAGACACCCCAGTGATTCAACTCATGACTATGAATTCACTGTAAGTAGTGATTCTGGATTTTCTGATGATGACTACCTTTCTTCTGACTTCAGTAATGATGGTGTTTATGATTATGATTATGATCTATGGCTTAATTGGGGAGATTGGTAGCCAGGGGTGACTGATGAAGTTAAGGAGTTTTGGATGTCTGAGAGGAGGTTCTTCTTGATTTTGGACGGGCTTGAAGCTAAGCAAATGATATTTTGTGAAACTCAGACCCTTCTGTTGAAATTACAGAGCGCTCAACTATAGCAGTCTTTGTCCAGCTATGTAGAAGGAGCTAATTTCGGATGCCTATATCTTTTTCTTTTTGAAGTATATATTTCTAGGAGAATTTTATTTGTCTGAGTTTATCATAGCACTTTGATTGATACCATGTTATGGTTTTTAAGGTTTAACTTTAACTGAGACCTAAAGATTAGGTACAAAACCTTAAAAGTATTCCTGAATTACTTTTTTATTATGTTTAATTAAATGTTTATATTTTTATTTCAATTGAATATTATTTATTATTTTATATATATGTGACATTAATCAATATGTCATCCATTACTACATATCAAATTATAAAATAATAAAAAATATTTTTATTAATAATATTTAATAAATATAATTAAAAATAATAATTTTTTTAATAATTAAATTTTTTTAGATATTAATTTTAATGTTTAGATTTATGAAGGTGAAAATTGAAATCAGTCGATAATTTGATTTTGATTTATAATTCAAATGATAAAATCGGTTATTAATAATATATTTTAGATTTATAATTAAAATATATTAATATATAATAATAAATATAAATGATATTTATATTAATTATATAAACAGAGGAAGTATAACTTTTCACCTTTTCAACTCTCCAATATTTTTTTCTTTCTTAAAAATCTACCAACGCTCATTCCTTTCTCATTTTTCAGTCCTTCCGACAAAATCTCCTATTCTACGCGAGAAAACAGAAAAGAAAGAAAAACAGGCCATGACCACCGCCGAAGCTGAAACTCGTAATTGGCTGGAGCTGCCCTTGGACGTGACGGCCTCGATTCTCTCTCGGCTGGGTGCAATTGAGATCCTGAAGGGCGCCCAAAACGTCTGCTCTCAATGGCGAAAGATCTGCAAAGACCCATTGATGTGGAGATCCATCGATATGCACAATTTGGGTGATATTGCGGAGATGGACTGTATCCTCGAAATAATGTGCGCCCACGCTGTCGATCGCAGCTGTGGCCACTTGCTTGATATCAATATCGAATGTTTTGGTACCGATAAGCTTCTACTTCATATCGCTGAGAGGTACAATTTTCATCTTTTTTTTTCAATTTTATAATCTCTGGTTGTTCTTCGAGTTCTGCTGCTTATCATTTGTCAATTTTCAATTTTTTTAATGTTGATGGAGCGTTTTTAATTTTGCTAGGTTTAGGTTTGGTCAATTAAGAGTCAATTTGTGCACATTTCATGGAATTAGGGTTTCTTGCTTTAACATTTGAGGATTTTGATTGCCTTTGGTTCTTTAATGTCTTGTTGGACTTTTTTCTTAATATTTTTATAACAAAAATAGTGAATTACGACTAAATAAAAGGTCCCTTTTTTTTTATTTTCAATGAGACATATTAGGCTTTTAAATTCTTACTGCAGGGCAGGTCATATTTGGTCCAAATTTTCAGGGGAAAGAGTTAAGCCGATGCATATAGATATTTCGAGTTTCAACAGTTTCTAATTTGAATATCAATGTGGTATGATTATCTAAGACAACGATTGATTAAAGATTAGTGACATAAATGTAACTTTCCCGGTTTGTTTTTGGTTTTCCTTTTCATTCTCATGGTGCTAGGCGAATAGAGGAAGGATATGCATGGTTTACTATCGGTTGGAGAATATAATCCTTCATCAAGCAAGCAACAGTTTGGCTTATTTTGAATCACTGCTTTCTGGTGTTTGTATGATTTTTTTTTCCTTATTGAAGTTTTGTTGGTTGATTCACTTGGAGACTATGGAAGTGGTAGTCTTGTTGAGATTCAATTTGTTTGTTTGTAGCCTGATGTTTTGCTTGTTCACTTCATCTTGTGATTAATTACCCAAATATAATTTCAAAATGATGTTTCAGCATGAGCATCCAATAGAATGATGGTTATTTGTTTGCATTTATAGGTTCAAACATTACTTATTTACACTATATTACGGTACTAAATTATTCATTTATGTGCTACTGCTGGCTCTAGTTGCCCATTTTTTATTCTTCCAGTGATGCTTGTCACAGGTCTAGTCATCTTAAACGTCTTCGACTTGTATGGTGCTGTAACATTTCAGATGAAGGATTAAGCGAAGCTGCTTCGAAACTTCCATTTTTAGAAGAGCTTGAAATTTCATACTGCACCATTTCAAAAGATGCTCTGGCAACTGTTGGGCGCTGTTGCCCTCGTCTGAAATCCTTAAAATTCAATAATCAGGGATACAGACGCTTCCGCTTGGAGTCTGATGATGAGGCAGTAGCTATTGCACAAACTATGCCTGAATTACACCACCTCCAACTTTTTGGGAACCAGCTGACAGATGATGGCTTGCAGGCCATTCTAAATGGCTGTCCACACCTTGAATCTCTTGACTTGCGCCAGTGTTTCAATGTTAGTCTGGTCGGGAACTTGGAGAAAAGATGTGTTGAACGCATGAAAAATTTGCGATGGCCTTATGATTCGACTCATGATTATGAGTTTGATGCGGAAGTTCATGATACTGGGTCATCAGATGAAGATTACCCATCTGGAATTTCTGACATTGACTTAATGTCCGATGATTATGATGATTATTTTGAATTCTCAGGGGCCAGTGACTTCTCAGATTATGATGACGAGTACTTGTTTTTTGGCTAATGGTTTGTCCATGAAGTAGAGACTATTCCAGGCATGGAAACCAGGTTTCATTAGTGGACTGCCTTATCCCTAATAATTTTGGGCATTTTTCTGTTACTTTGTTTCTTATGCAACTTTTGTGGTTTTATCTTTTTTTCGTTAAAAAAGAATCTTTTGTAATTAAAGGGGTGGTTATAGCTTGTACTTTTCTCTTGTTTTTGGCGTCACTGAGCATTTAAGTAAACATCCTGAAAAGTCAGTTTTAAGCAAAGTGCATCGCTGTTCATGTTTCCTGGTTCTTTGTCTAATGAAAGCCAGTGTTGTGTTGCTGTAGTGATGATTATATTTGTGTGTTGTAGGTGACTAGGATGAAGATAAAAATCAAGCTGCGAATTCAGTGATGTTATTGCAGGCTCATAAGGTTGCTCCTGATCGTCAAATATTTCTCCTTTTGCACATGGAAGGCTGACATCTATCGATATGTCTGTTATTGACAGTTTGAGAGGTTTCATACATTCGTGATTCCTCTAGAAAAACAGCAGTTAATCTTTGCCAGGGACCTTTGTTGTACCTCTTGTTCGGTATACTCTTCTATCTATACAAATAGAAGTTATTATTATCTTTTGGAATCATGTGGCGAATCGAAGTTTATCAAGTTGTTTTTAGTTGCTTTATATCCCGGGTCTTGGGAACCATGTCTTTGGTGAATCTGGGAAGGGATGGAGTGCCTCTACGTTGCAAGGCAAAAGTTGTTAATTTTCTGTTTGCTAGTTTCGTAGTTAGGGTGAGAAAGAGACATGACTTTGCGTGCGTGCGTGCGTGTGTGCGTGTGTGTGTGTGTGTGTGTGTGTGAAAACAACCCATTCTGGATCGTGAATGAAAGTGCATATTCTCACATCGGGGTCAAGAAACATTAATTTTAAGGATTGTAAGGGCCTTGTCACCGAACCCTTAGGCTTGTTAGCCTGGCCCTTTATTTCTCATGGGTTGGGTGCTTGACCTTTTGGTCTTGGCGGCTGCCCACTCTTCGGTTCAAAGCCTGTCGTCTCGTCTCAGCCACCTCCAATGAGGGCTTGGACTCAGCTCGTGAATAATGGTTAAAAAAACAAGTATCTATGTTGCTAACTAAATACAGGTCAAATATACAATTACCTATTTTCAGCTTTTCATGCAAAATACACGTTTAAGGTAAAAACAAAGGGTAAATTGCCCCTACTTCTTTAGAATTTCATCTTAATTTATTTCGGGTCAATTTGCTTTTAAAATAGACATCTCTTCTCAAAATAATATTCAAGTAACAAACGTCTAAAAATTCTTATTCGTATTTTACTCCCATTCGATCATAAAATATTTTATTTTTAAATGAATCAAGCAATATAAGATATTCATTTTAAGTACTACTCGATTTTACCCTATAAAATATAAAATTTTTAATGTACAGTCTTATAACTTTTTTCCGTCCACGTACAATTTCTTGCGAGAAACATTCGATAGAATTGAAATGGTACAGAAAAAATTAACATGTCCTCTAATAAATAAAGAAATGATCCAAATTTTTTGTCCGAAAAAAAGAAAAGCTTATAATTACTTGGCATTAATAGTTTACACATTTCTTCATTACTTTTTTATTAAATACTACGAGAAAGTTGAGCAGTAGTTTGCTGATCTGAATTAAGATAATCATATTAGCAAGAGAGAGAAAGACAATGACTACGTAAAAAGGCCCAGCTGACAGGCCGTAAGCAGCAAGTGGCAGGGCTAGGGGAAGTTTTGCAATCCTCATCTATGCCATTGATGTGAAAAATGACTGTTCCAAAATTCTGCAGCCATAGGCCACGTAAGACTAGGCTTACCTTTCCCCTATAGACTTACTAGGCACAAGTTACGTTGCATGCTCAACTCACACGATCACATTTCTTTCTTCTTTTCTTCACCTTTTTTTAATTTTAAGCTAATTTTGGGATTTCAGAGAGAGAGAGAGAGTTGCGTGCGACGCCGTTTCTGTCAGGGAGCTGAGGAACCAATAGGGAGGAGACTAGCGGTTTCAAACTGACACAACAAAGCATCAACGGACAAGAAAAAGAGAGGAAAAGACGGTAAATGGTGTGTGATATGCCCAATCTATCAACCTGACGCACTCCTAGCATCACCTTCCATTGACTTGACTATCCATCCGACACTCTCCCATCCGTTGCCATGATGCCACGTTTGTCCTTCTGATTCCTTCACCCATTTTTGGGCCTTTCTGCCATCTGTTATTCAAGTATTTATCATTAATATTGTTTGTCATTTTACGTGATATTATACTCACAAATTAAGTTATCATTTATAATAAATGAAAACGTCATATATTAATATAATTATGTAATAATTTTATTTTTTATGATAATATTATGTTAATATAAAATAATATTTTAATTAATAATATTTAATTAATGGGAAAGAAGTAACGAGGGCATACAATTAGTCAGTGCTATGTTAATATAATATTAGATGTTAGCATTGAAGAATGTAGCCTTTGAAACCTTGTAACTATTACCAACAGTTTGACTAATACCATTATGCTAATTTTTTTATCAATAAATAATTTGGTAGAGTATTCAATCCGTATAACTTCTTTCTTGATCGAAGAGTTGGTGTTTGAACTTAGGTGATGAGATACATAGCTGGCATTTTTTAAGTTTTGCACAATCAAAACTCAAGCTGGCGCTTTCCCATTGTGGAATCAATCTTTCTCTGCCTCTTTCTCACCATCTTGCTCTCAAACCCAACAAAACTATTTTTTTGTTCTCAGATATTAAAGGACAGTTAGATAAGCATCTGCTTGAAAAGAGCTTGATTGTGTCTCTTAAAAAACAAAGTCAAAACTATTTAATTATGAGAGGAGGATCATCTTAGTTGGTCACCATCTCCAAATATCCGCCCCTAATTATCAAAGAAAGTCATCCCCAAATCTCCCTTAGCTATGTATGTTAGTATTTAACTCATTATATATCATTTCAAATTAATACTCTTTATGAAATGCTAATCTCTCTTTACTTTCTATAATAAACTTGTTATTCGTATTTGTGTTAAATTCAAATATATTATACTTATATGTTATATATTCGAGTACAATATCTGATTAAAGGGTATTTATTACTATTCATATTTCATAATTATGATGTTTATGTCGTCGATACCAAGTGAGCAAAGACAACAATACATAAATCTCACAAATTATCAAAAATTTATAAGAAAAAAAGACCCCAACCCCACATTTCCCTCCTCCTCCTTCTTCTTCTTCTTCACTCATGCACTGTTTGTGTTTTTTCTTTTTGCTTCTCTTCTTTCACAAATCCCATCACAGCCATTGCCCCTTCTCTTTCATGTCCTTTACAATCAAAGCAACCTGAGTCCAGGAGGGGGCAATGGTCGGGTCAGCGGCCAAACCAAATTGGCAAATTACGATAATTAAACCTGAAGGAAGCGGGGCAATAAGTAGCCACGTGGAAAGCATGAGGAAGATGCCACGTGGGTGAAGGTGATAGGCTAGGACGGGGTGGGGACAGCTATTTGGTGGCATTATGTTGGGGGTCGGGGGGGGGCCTAGACAAGGGCGGAGACAACGCTTTTAAGCGAGCCGGTGGAGCTGCCTGGTTGGCAGGTGATCACATGGACAAGCCCCATGTGTTGTCAAAGCTCCCCCTGCCCCCAATTATTACTATAAACTAACAGCTTTCCCTCACAATCATATATCTCCAGCTCCTACAAATATATGTTGTTGTATTCTCTCACCAACATATTTCGTTTAGAGAGAACGATTAACTCGAATATGGTATGTTTAATTTATTTAATTAATTATGTTATCATATCAATTTATATAATCTGTTTCTGATATTATGTTTAAATGAGTTTATCTAATCATAATTGTATCATATAATATGTAAATTAGCATGTTCCTATACTTGTTTAAAGTTTTAACTTATTTAATAAATTATATCATATTTATATTTATTTATACAATTATTAATATTTTATTTAAACACAACATAATTAATGTTATATGTACATTTATTAATTATATTATATTCATATTTATTCATATAATTATTGAGACAAAGACTGGTGGTCTAATGTTTTATGTTTTGCAATGTTGGCTTTTCTAGTAATGAATTGGGTGATGAAAGTGTGAATGGGCGTTTGTATTCTAGTTGTAAACACCTTTTGGGTGATATAGGTGAGGAGCTTTGGAAATAAGTTACATTGGAATTTCCAAAACTTATATTTAATTTTGATATATTAATGAAGTTGCTGATTTAACTAAAACATATACAACACAGTCATGATACGATAACATGAATTGTTAAGTTTAGTAAAAATGGATGAAAGTGAAATAATTGATTAACCTAAAATTAAATCAGTAATAATATAAAAATATCTTTAAGATAAAAAATATTTGGAAAAAAATGAAAAAAAAAAAGAAATAGTAGGAGATGTGACAAGAACGGCATAAAGAGCTCGTGGGAACAGAATGTTTGTGATCCCTTCTTTTCTTACAACCTCGGCATATGCAAAAACTCACTTTACCTTTACACGCCTTTTGGCTCGTGAGCTTCGTTTTCAACTAAAATTATTATTATCCAATGATTTATATTCATTCTTAATTAAAAAATAAATTGATAAATCGGGAATGACTCAGGATAAAATCTCAACCGTTTGATGATGGTTGAGGGCAAATCGTCCTACATGGGTTGGTCCCACTGGATTCCTTACTTGCCACATGATGCTTATCCCGCTCTGTCTACGCGGCGCATACTTTGTGGGTCCCTTTTCCCTGAAATATTATTGTGGGTCCCATCTATGTGCGGTATCTGTTTCATAAAAAATTAATCTATTACTTGCCACATGATGCTTACTCTTTTTATAAGTCATCTTCAAAAAATTTAATCTATTATAATTTTATTTTTTATATAATATTTATATTTTTTAATTAATTTCATATGGATTGATCAGGAATTACAAAGTAAAAAATAATTTATTATTCATTTTTAAATATATTTTGATAATTTTGTTAAAAAATTTAACAGTGTAAGCTACTATGAAAATAAAACTTATTTAAAAAATTTAAATTGAAAAAAAATAAAGTATCATGTAAAAAAATTAAAATTAAAAAAAATAAGTGAAGTTTACTTAACCTTTAAAACACCCTACATATACTCATTGCATTAAAAATCATCAAATTATCTAACAATTTATATATATATATATATATCACTTTGAAGATATCTGATAAAATTAAATCGAGAAATAAAAAAATTATTCAAATTATAATAAATTTATACCTTAAAACTAAATGAAGCATGAAGAACTCAGCTTGTTCCCAAAAGCCAAAAACAGATAAATATAGCTATTTTTTTTGTCAAAAGGTACTGAATTTTGGGAAGATGAACAAGTCAGTTTATGCCAGCAATCAACCTAATCCACTGGTAAACTATAAAACAGAGGAAGAAAGAAGAAGAGGAAAAGCACGGGGTGGCAGAAATCCAAAATGATTCACCAAACCCTCCTTGTAATTTGCGAAATCATTAAATTAATTAAAACCCTTTATAAATTAACATTGTAAACCTGTCCTTATCATCCCAAATTCTTCCCAACTTTCTTTCCATGGAAGTC